TGCTTGAATGTGGCTATTATTGGCCATCGATCTACCAAGATGCAAACCAAATGGTCAAGGCATATCATCAATGTGAAAGACAAGGGTCAATTTCTAGAAGGCATGAGATGCCTATAAACTTTGTGATGAAGGTAGAGATCTTTGATGTGTGGGGGATAGATTTTATGGGTCCCTTCGTCAGCTCATACGTCATGACATATGTCTTGGTAGTAGTAGATTATGTCTCCAAATGGGTCGAGGCAATTTCCTTGTCGAAAAATGAGGCCAGGAGTGTAACCGCCTTTTTGAAGAAGAACATATTTACTCGGTTTGGAACCCCCAAGGGCCATCCTTAGTGATGGTGGTTCTTACTTTTGCAACAAAGTTGTTTCCCGAGTTGCTCGAAAAATATGGAGTTAAGCACAAGGTGGCCACCCCTTATCATCCTCAGTCGAGCGGTCAAGTTGAAGTTTCCAACCGGGAGATCAAAGAAGCTAGATGATGCATTGTTGGCATATCACATAACATTTAAGACTACTATTGGCACCTCACCATATCGGTTGGTTTTTTCTAAGGCGTGTCACTTGCCAATGCAGCTTGAACACAAAGCTATGTGGGCATTGAAAAATTTAAATCTTGACTGGGCCGAAGCTGCTAATCAAAGGATGATACAACTCACCGAGATGGAAGAATTTCTTTTTCATGCCTATGAGAATGCAGCCATGTATAAGGAAAGAATGAACTTTGTACATGACAAGAAGATTTTGAAATGGGAATTTAAATCTGGTGACTTGGTCTTACTCTTAAACTCAAGACTGATGCTCTTTCTGGGAAAACTAAAATCCAAATGTTCTGGCCTGTTCAAATTGTGAATGTGTCTTCCTATGAAGCTATTGTATTGGAATCCGAGGATAGGACTCGAACCTTCAAAGTAAATGGCCAAAGGATCAAGCACTACCTCAGAACCATTGGAGAAAGGCACATGGTCGAACAATGCACACTAAAGGATGGTCGTACACCAACACCCACCACTGATTAGCCAAAATTGAGGCAACATCGTCGTGT